GAGGGGAGGGGAGGGGAGAGGAGAGGAGAGAGAGGAGAGGAGAGGAGAGGAGGGCTTACTTTGAAAAGCAGCAGAAGCAGCAGCAGCAGCTGCTGCAGACAGATCTGCCAGGACCAGGTCCACAGCCAGGTGACAGGCTGAACACGAGTTCAGGAGCTCTTGGCGAGACTGCCACGTGAAGAAGCCACGCTTCAGGGAGGTGTGACCGTGTCTTTAGAAACGGTTAGAAATAATTTAAAAACAGAAGTAGAAAAATAGCAATGCCTTAAAAAAAAATCACTTAGATACTCATAATTTCTGACAATACCCTGTGTGATTACAACCTAGGATTCTTAAATTTGTCAAGAACAATGTATAACAGAGAATGTAAGACTTTGGGGTGGTTTGCAAGCAAAATGATGGAAATGTGGGAAATTGCACCAGCCAAAGAGCCTTTCAGCAATTAAAGAAAATTAAAGTGGTTTTCTAAAATAACAATAATAATCTTTCACTTAGCCTTAAAATTTTAAATATTCACAAGGTTGGATATATAGCCCTCACCTCCACCCCCGAGGGGGATGAATAACAGAAATTGGATGAAGGGAGACAATGGACAATGTAAGATACAAAATGATAAGAACAATATATAATTGAACAAGGATTCATGAGGGTGGGGGAAGGAGGGAAAAAAGAAGAGCTTATACCAAGGGCTCAAGTAGAAAAAAAGTTTTGGAAATGATGGTGGCAACATATGTACAAACATGCTTGATACAATTGATGTATGGAATGTTGTAAGAGCCCCCAATAAATTGATTTTTTTAATTTTAAAAATATTTTATGGTGTTTATGATTGTTTATTTTGTTATAGTTAGATATTCTGAATATGCAAAAAGTGTAAAGCACAGTATAGCAAATACTAAAATAATCACCACCCAGAATTAGCAAATGCTAATCTTACAGTCACGTCAAAGCTTTTAAAATTGAAATGAAAATGTTATAGTGTTTTAGTTCCTCTTATGGCCTTCCTAATTCCTTTTTCCTTACTCCTTCCTATTAAAATCAAACAAACTCCCCTGCTACCCCAGGGGGATGAACAACAGAAACGTGGGTGATGGGAGAGAGTGGACAGTGTAAGATATGAAAATAATAATAATTTATAATTTATCAGGGATCCACAAGGGTAGGAGGGTGGGCTAAAAGAGGATCTGAAATCCAGGGCTCAAGCAGAAAGAAAAAGTTTTGAAAATGATGATGGCAACATATGTACAAATGTGTTTGATACAATTAATATATGGATTGTTATAAGAGCTGTAAAAGCCCCCAATAAAATGATTTGTTAATATATAGATAAAAAAATTCATGGCCATCAAGTTGATTATGAAATTGGTGCATATTTTTCTTGTTTATGGTTTTATACTTTTACCTTATATGTAGTATGCTTCACAAATAGTGTTTTATTGATTTAAAACTGACATAAATCATATTATACTATGCAAATAATCCTGCAATTTAGATGATAAAACTCAGACTTATTCCTATTGATTGATACATTGAGCTGTATGTAGATTGAGGATTTTGGGGGGGAGCTCTTTCATGGGATTTGATTGTATGATTCTTCCACAACTTACCAACTGAGTCCGCTATTAATAGTTATTTGGTTGTCCATTGTTTTACTCTCAGAAGCAGTTGTAGTAAGCATTCATAAAAATGAGGGGCCTTCAAAAATTTTGTGGAAAAGTAGAAGTTAAAAACAATGGAATTTTTCCATGAACTTTTTTGAAATATCTGTCTACTATTGTTATTCAGAAGCCCTGGTTGCATAGTGGTTATGTGTTGTGCTTCAATCTGCAAGGTCAGTAATTCAAAAACACCAACCACTCCAAGGGAGAAAGGTGGGGCTTTCTACTCCCATAAACAGTGGCAGTCTTGGAAACTCACAGGGGAGTTCTACCTGTCCTATAGGGTCAACAGGAGTTGCCATCAACTCGAAGGCAGTGAGTCTGTCTTTTCAGCCTTATTTAATCTGCATGCTCAGCAAAGAGTATGAGAAAGTAGACTATATTCATATGAAGGAGGCAGAATCAATATCAGAAACCTTCTCAACCTGCAATATGTACGACACACCTTGCTTATTGAAAGCCAGAAGGACCTGATGAAAATCAAAGCTTACAACCTTTGGTTTGTAACTCAATTAAAGAAGTACAATGTCCTCACAATTGGACCAATAGACAATGCCATGATAAATGGAGAAAGGATAAAAGTTGTCAAGGATTTCAGTTTACTCATGGAATAAGAAATTAAGAAATCAAACGACATATTTCATTGGGCAAATCTGCATTGTTCTTCGAACTGCTAAAAAGCAAAGCTGTCACCCTGAGGACTAAGGGGTGCCTGACTCAAGCCAGGTGTCTCCAGTCCCCTTCCACGCGTGTGAAAGCTGGGCACTGACTGAGGAAGGGCAGCGGAGATTTGACGCTTGGCAAAGCGGAGCGTCAGCAAAGAAGAGGAAGATGTCCGAGGAGCCGGACTGACACAATGACTGCCGGAGACGGGCTCAAGCAGTGTTTCAGAGCTAACTCAAGGGCACCGAGCAACCTTGGAAACATTAGTTCTTCCTGTTTAGTGAGTTAGAATTGACTGGACAGCACACGTTTCTTTTGGCAAAGAACATTATAGTAAAGTGAAGGAGCTTAAATCTAATTACTGTTTTATCATCCCATATTAGTAAAGATATACCATGGCAGTACATGTTTTTTCTTTTTTATTATTGTTTTCTTAATTTTATTTTTGTTTTTTTCTTGTCATATATTTTCCCTCATATTTTCCTCATATCCTCATTCCATGCCCTTGATAAATCTTGCTTCTTCCTTTTTTCCTCTTAGCTTCTTACTCTTAATTCAAAAGCATGAGACAAGGAAGACAAATAATAAAATGAGTGACTCTCTATAAAAAATTATTGCGAAATGTATAATGTAGCTATAATGAATGTGGCGCTGTATGTTTGAATGCTGTTGATTTCATTCTAGCCCCCTGAAGTACCAGAAGAACTTGAAGAACACAAAGAGTATGTTCCTGAAGACATCGTTTATTACAAGCCACCCGTCTCTAAACCATGGGTTTCTCTGGGCAGTGAAAAGGAAATTGTGGAAGAATCGGTTGAAGAATCTACAAAGCAGGTCAGATGTTTACATAGGACGCCCTTCAGTCAGAAACCTCCCTCCCTGTAGCTAAAAAACAATGATACCTGAGGGTTTCATAGTAACCGTGAAAATGGTAGGTTTGCTGTGGGATGTGGTTCTTTTTGACAGAAGAATGGCCACCGCGTTTGGTGCAGGTCCCAGAAACAGCCCCTGAGAGAAGGATTTATGAGGTACCGACTTATTAGGAAGGTATCCCACGCATCAGTGAGAAAGATGGCAGCCCCGGCAAGCGGAGGAAACCCTCCAAGATTGGAGATGTAGATGCAAATTCAGCAGAGAAGGTTTTTGTTTGAACCTGCAGGGGAAGCCTGGCTTATGAATTTCACGTCATGGTTACTGCAAACCAAGGTAAGGGAACAAGGCTTGCGTACGCCACCGGGTCAGTGATCAAGACACCACACTGCTAGTCACTGTCTGCTCTTTGTACCTGTAGGAAAGGGTTGCCTACAGTCTTAGAGCACTCTTCCAAGGAGAAGCAGCCATGCTGGCCATTAGAATCGAGAGCACTCAGAGCTAGAGATCCACAGGGAATGTGTGCAAAGGGAACTGAGAGGATCCAGGCTGAGCACCACCATTGTCTACTATGCATCCATTTTTCTCCAGGAGATTGACTCATTAGGCAGGGTTCTCTAGAGAAACAAAACCAGGACATTTATGGTTCATGTATATAATGCAGCAAGAAGGAATATAACAGCTAATTAGTCCACACAGCAGTACAGAGGGCTCGATTCCACTCACTTCCGTGGAACAGTTAATATACTGGAAGTCCTTCAACTCACATAGGCTGCCAGTTCCAAGGTCAAGGAAGCAGACACCAGAGACCTCCCTGGGGCAAGACAGGCAGGGGCTGCCCACAGGCAGCAAACAGCAGGGTGGATCAGCAGCAGCCAGTAGCTCAGGAGCTTAGCAAAGCAGGCCTGGATGGGATATCAAACTCAAGAAATGCAAGGCGACAGGATCCACCGGCCTCCAGCTCAAGCGATGTATGCACCAGCACCATGATGAAGCTGGTCTCAAAGGAGACGCAAGCTGTAGCAACATGATCCATGAGTTGGCGTGGCCCACAAGTAGTGTAGCTCACAGGTTGATGCAGAGATCTAGCTAAGGCAGCAGCACACTCCAATCGCCGGAGAGCAAGAGGGTGGGCCTTACAGAGCCATTTATCTCTCTGCCCTCCAATCAAACTGTGACTTGATTAATCCCACGGCTTCCTTTTGGCCAGGTTGGCACAGCAAACCTAACTATCACAGCTACCTTTACTGCTTAATGTGTTTCAGATTACATATATGATAACTCGGAAGCGAAATGAATTTGGAAGACCCATTAAGTTCAGTGACTTTAATGCTTCTGTCGTCAAAGATGCCTATATTGAATGTACAGCCTACCCAGATAAAAACTTTACCATTCAACAACGTGAGAAAGATATTGGCTTGCAAGTTGTCCCCAAAATCAATGACATAACTACTCAGACAAGATGGTAAGCATGTTTATGTGTTTTGAAAGCCATTTACAGTAAAATCTAGCAACTTCCATGAATATTTTGAGAGATCCTTAGAATAGGCAGGGATTGGTAATAATGGCATAAAATTCCACAAAGCAGGTCAATTCCCTCGCTTGGAACATCACCATGGCCTCCTAATTTGTTTTGCTTTCAAACCCAGTATACGTTGAACGACCCACCTGAGGGTCATTATTGAAGATAACATTGGATGATGTTGCTTCATTGCCTAAATGTCTCCTTTAGCACTCCATCACTTACAGAAATATATCCATGTGACTGAAGGTGCCATACACAGTCCTCCTTCCTCTGTGATCCAACATGGACTGCGTCTCTAGCCTCATCACTGCCTGTTTCCAGAAAAGTCCTCAGTGTTCTAGCTAATGTTCTCATTTCGAGCAAATAGACACTTCCCCGTCTCTCTGCCTTTGCCTATGCTGTTCCTCCCTCTCGTAAAATGTCCATCGCTGCCTTGTCTACCTGGAGCATCCCTCTTCATCCTGACAAGTCCATTTCAGTGCTCTTTTCCTGGAAGACTCTGTCTCCACTAGATCTTAGGGGTATCTGTACCATAGAACTGATTGTCCACTTTTTACTCCTCTGTTTGTCTGCCATAGTATTTTCACACAGTAGACTCTTGAATGAAATTTCTCCAATGAGACCCAAAGCCCATTAGTAGGCCACTGGAGAACCCCTTGCAGAGGGGTCTCGAGGAGGAGACGAGCCAGTCAGGGTGCGATGTAGCAACGATGAAAAATACAACTTTCCTCTGGTTCCTAAATGCTTCCTCCCCGCCCCCACTATCATGATCCGAACTGGAAACACAGGGAATCCAGGACAGATGATCCCTTCAGGACCAGTAGTGAGAGTGGCGATACTGGGAGAGTAGAGGGAGAGTGGGTTGGAAAGAGGGAACCGATTACAAGGAACTATATGTGACCTCCTCCCTGGGGGACGGACAACAGAAAAGTGGGTAAAGGGAGACATCGGACAGGGCAAGATATGACAAAATAATTTATAAATTATCAAGGGCTCATGAGGAAGGGGGGAGCGGGAAGGGAGGGGAAAAATGATGACCTAATGCCGGAGGCTTAAGTGGAGAGGAAATGTTTTGAGAATGATGAGGGTAATGAATGTACAAATGTGCTTTACACAATTGATGTATGTATGGATTGTGATAAGAGTTGTATGAGCCCCTAATAAAATGATTTTATAAAAAAGAAATTTCTCCAATGAGTGAATTAATTAAAAATATATTTGTAGCAGGAATGTTTTGTGGGCTTAAGCTCGATTTTGAAGATTGTGTCAATTTGAAGATGCTAAGCTATACATCTTTGCGGGATTGATGTTTTGTTAACTTTTTAGATACTTTCAGATGTATATTTTATGCTTAAGGAAGACACACCATGGATTATAGACAGATGGGGGAAATGATCTGAACAATTCAGGGGGGTGAGAAGAGCAATTTGTGGGGGCCTGTGAGGAGACAAGACTGGATAGAATGGAGGGATTAGTAGAAGGTAGAGGGTAGTGTTTTCTCCGTGGCAGACAGTAGGAGTCTTTATTAAGGAAGAGGCTTTTAAAATAAGATGGGCCAAGGCGTATTGATTGGAGAGCAGAGAATAGAACGCCTGCAGATGAAGAAGTTGGCCAGGACGGAGCCTGTTGTCATGAATCCCAATGCAGTCTTCACTTTCATGTTTACAGTAGGAGGGAGGCATTGACAAAGCAAGCGAAAGAGAAATACAAATGGCCTTAATGGAAGTCAATATCAATTGTCTAGGTTAAGAAAAAATACTATAGTCCACAAGAAAAATGGAAACATAAAATAATATACTAGTACTATCACCAAGCAAAGCTTCGAACTATGGTGATCTGTATTTGCTTTTTTTTATCTAATTTTGGTATTCAATCTTATTTGATATATCAGGACATATCCCAAAAATGCTAGTACACAATATCAACCGAGAGAATTCTCAGAAGAGGTAAAAGAGGAACTTGGACAATCAAAATCTTTGGCCGAATTTCTTAACAACACATCTGTAAGGTAAAAATTGTATATTAAATATTAAAATAGAATGTTAATGTCTTTTATAATAATAGATTTTAATCTACAGTTACATATGTGGTGTTTAGTTAGAAACTATGGAGACAGCTATCTAAGCATACGACACACTCAGTCTTTAGAATCTCATTCTTTCTTTCCCAAGTAACAGCTGAGATTTCCCAGTCCAATCAAAGCTCAAAGCCACTGCCATCAAGTGATTCGCTCATAGTGACCGGTCTGGCAGAGCGTCCATAGTTTCTGAGGCTGCAAAAAGCCGCGCAAGCGCCATCTTTCACTCTCTGAGTTGTGCGTCACCAAGACCACTTCCCCCGTGGAGATCTCACCGCATCTCCTCCTCAGGAGGGAAAAGGAGAAAACCAGAGTCCATGTGATGTGGCGGTGGTGGCGACGGGGGTCTGTCTCAGAGGGGATGCTCTCACTTTCTGTCCTGCAGGAGAGGGCAGCTTGCCTTTGGAAAATATGCTTGACATTGCCTCTATGGTTCCCCAAGGGAGACAGTCCTCCTGAGAGCATCTGGCTAATCAGACACGTTTAACCCAGGCTCTTCCCATCCCGTGGTGACCAAGGCCCCATCCTATAGGCTACCTGGGCTTTATAGATCGTGTCCTCTTGAGGTGGACAACATACTACATGGGCTACATCAGAAATACCTGTGTTGGAAAACTCACTAAATGAACCAGACTTTACCTTTAAGAAGCCTGTGGCAGGGATGTAAATGACCTTGCTGTCAAGCAGCGTGCATTGGAAAGTGGATTACAACTACACATGCAGATAGATTAAAATTTAACAACTTACCATTTGATCTCCTTATTGACTCGTTTGTTTTAGTTTTCAATATTTTCTGCTTTCTTTTCCATTAAGGTTTTTCTCTGTTGTACTTTGTTGTTGTTTTAAATTTTGGTATGCTTTTATGTATATGAAATCCAGGATAGGTTAATCTAGAGACACAATAACTGGATGAATGGTTTCTTGTGGGTATGGCAGACGAGGTTGGGGGAAATGGGTAGCTAATAAAAATAAACACAAGAAAGAAAACATTCTAAAGTTGATCATGGTAATGACCGCACAACACTTCTTAATATGATTAAACTATTGAATTGTATGATATGTAAATTATATGCCAATAAAACTGTTACACATTAGAATTCCCCATAACTATTTCTTAAAAACAAGAAAACAAACAAAAATAAACTGTTGCAGAGTAAAGGAGCTAATCTACTCCCTTGGACGTGCGGCTCTGCTGCCCTAGGGAGGGAAGAGAAAAATGGCTGCATAGGTCGAGGAACCGGACATCATTGGGCTTCTAGCCAAACGTCTTGCCTAATAACAGGCAAATTAAGACTACTGTATATGCGGTACTTCCATATTTTCTTAGTTTTCTAAGACGTGTCAGTTGTGCACCCACCACTGTGAATGAGTGATATTGAACTTTACACTCTGTATCTAATCCTCACTGTTTTCTTAAACAGGATTCAGTCACTCAAGCTTTTAATATATATAAGTGAACATCTCATGTAAAAAGACTTCCTCTATACCCATACTTCCTCCATCTCAACAATATTCTAAATTCTATACTAGTGCCTAGTTTAATAATACTATTATTAAAATCACTAAAGGCTCCCTGGAGATCACTTATAATATCTCTCAAAAAACTTATAATGCTACCACTGAAGTGGAACTGGGGTTTATATTCACCTTAGATGTATGAGTGGATTATGAGCTTGCATTTAACCAGGTGCCCTAACCCGAGAAGAATCAGTCCTTCTGATGTGGTCCTCCTCAATACTTTCATAGAGAGCTCACGATACTACAGCAGAGTCTAGTGAAGAAATAAAATGGCGCCCAGCTCTCAGGCAGAAGAGCATCTGGGGTCGTAAAAAGAAGCAGCCAGTTAAGCGATGTGTCAGCTATGCTCACATGGAAGAAGCACTTCAGCCTTGTGTGACCTAAAGACTGCAAATAACAAAATCCAAGATCAGAGGAAGGGAATGTATTCGAGCTTAACATCTGAGCATCTGGTTTAGAGAAGGGTATGGAAGACAGTGGAAGCCAAAAATACATCTGCAGAGACCCTACAGGGGAAAGGCTTCTACTCAATCCCCTGAGATATTAAAAGCCCTGTCCTCAGACAGAGTGCATCAGAAAGGGAATTAGTGCAGATATACTTAGGGGGAAATAGCACATCTTATGTGCTTTCTCTTTTAGCCCAGTTTTAATTTGTTCTCTACTTTCTTTTGGCTTAAGAAAAGTAACACGTGTCATTGAACAAGTTGACATGGAAATTGTTAAATTAGAACCCCGTTTGCTGTGTAAACACAATAAAATTATTTAAATTAGAAACAAAAACTTTCCTTGAGCAGAAGCCCTCCTCTTCTCCCTCGCGGGGGCTGGTGGGTTTGATCACTGACTCACTCGGAGACCATGCCGCCACCAGGGTTCCCAACCCAAGATCACATGCAATGCAACACGAACCTAGAAGAGTACATACAGTAAGTGTGGTAAGATTCTTAATTAAATTCTCAATTGTTTTGCATATGTCATGGTTGCTTTTAATCAAGTGTTCTCTCCACTTCCTTCTTAAGTCTGGGTAACTAACTTGTCATTGACTTTTATGAGATGATAAGGCTGAAGAAGATGATGATGATGATAAGAATTTGCAAAAAAATAAACCTTCGTAAATAAGAATCTGAACTCATTTGGGTGTCTCACTCCGATGGCTAATTCTGTGTTACTGTCACTTTTACTGGCTCTGAAAGAGAGGTGTTTTCAAGACTCTCCTACACTGGTGCTAGGATCCATGGGGTGTCTAACTAGAGGAGGAAATTGACAGGTAGCATCCAGGTGCTAATAGAGGGCAGAGAGGTGAAGCCAATGGTGCACTAGTCTGCCAGTTGCACCCAATTATTGACTTCCATTTTGTTCCCAAAGTAAAAAAAATTCACTGGTCTAGTTTCTATATAGTTAAGCCTTTTAAATTTTTATTTTAAGGAACACATCATTAGCTCTCTCAGATTGGATTAAAGGCCCAGAAGATTCTAGAAAATCTAAAAAGTTGTTCACTGTGCCTAGGGAGAATCGAATTCAAAATTGTATTAATGATTCAAAAAAGGTTGTGTTACGTGTCATTCACTGGCAAGGTAATTTTAAGAATATATATTTTTTCACGTTTATTTGGGAAGAAACTTTTTTAGAAATTAATTCTAAAAATATTTCTCACCAAATTTTATCCAAAGCTAACCTAAACTCAAAACCAGACTCACGAAGGTTGAGTGGATACCAACTTGTGGAGACCCTGTAGGACGAGCAGAGCTACCTCATCGCATTTCTAGGGTCGTAACTCTTTGTGGAAGCAGACTGCCACATTTTTCTCCCACAGAGAAACCTTTCTGTTAGCAACCTGAAGTTTAATTCTCTGCACCCCCAAGGCTCCTTTATAAACCTAAAACCCACTGCCATCTAGTTAATTCTGACACGCGGTGGCCCGATAGTTTCCTGGGCTGTCAATCTTTAGAGGAGCAGACAGCCTCTTGAGACTCCCAGGGAGCAACTGCTGGTTCGAAGCGCCAGTTGAGCTTAGCAGTCCAACAGCTTACTGCACGGTGCATCCAGGGCTGCTGAACACTCCAAAACCCAAACTCACTGCCATCGAGTCAAATTGTATCCAAGTCTGAGTCCTAGGAACTCTATGGGACAGAGTGGACTCCTCCTGTGGCTTTCTGAGACTAATTTTTACAGTAGTCGATAGCCTCACCTTTCCACCATGGAGCAACCAGTGGTTTTGAACTGTTGACCTTGCAGTTCACAGTCCACTACTAACTCACCGTGCCACCAGGGCTCCTAAATGGGATTATTCTTTGCAAAAGAAAAAACAAGAAGAAATTTCAAGGGAATTTGCAAAGCAACTAAGAAGTTTCATTTAGGGATAAAAACAATTGATATTTATAGGCTTAAACTCGGTTTTAGAGAGCTTCCAGTTCTTCGCTCTCAGGAGCCACATGGGAAATGAAGAAACTTTTTCCTCGTGAATCACTTCCCTGTTCGGGCTGAGTGGGAAGAAAGGGGAGTGTCAATGTCCACAAATGTCAATGCAATGTTGTGAAAATGTGTTCTGACTCTGCAGGTCCCAGCAAACTCCCAGGACAGGCTAATATTACTGGTTTAATTGATCGCAATTTAAGTAGGAAGATCCTAGATCCTTCCATTCTGAGACATAGACTACAAGAAGACTTTAACCCAAGAGTATTCTGTTAAGTAGTGAAAGGTAGTCATCAATGTTTAATAGCAATTAAACAAATGGTCCCTTTGTTTAATTTTTTAGGGGTACCTATTTGTTGCATGTTTTAAAATGTTATCTTCACTGTCAGGTAGAGTGCGTTTTCTTATTTCAAGGGGTTCATAATTGAAACCAGTCATTGAGCTTACCACACCCATTAACACACACACACACACACACACACACACACACAAGCTATTTGTACTTTGGAATATTCAATTAGTAGAAGGCTATAGTGGACAGTGGGAGCCCAAAACTCACCTGCAGAGTATTGAGTCAGATTAAGCTGCTGGTAGATCCCCTCTAGACACAAGCAAGGGTCTTGAACAGTCTTACTATCAGACAGGGATCATTGTATTCTTGACTTTGCTGGCTTGAACTTGATACTTGGTCAGTTGACCTCCCTATTGTTCTAGGAGCAAGTGTCTCTTGCATGTTCCATGACAAAAAATGCTTCCCTGGCTTTTTAAGTTGGTGGTGGGTGGTCTTTTCTACTCACGATTTGTGTTTTTATCTTTATATTATTATTAGTTTATCCTTACCACTTAAAAGAGAAGATATTTGTACTTTGGATTATTAGGGTAAACCCTGGGTGGTATTTCAATATGCACCCCACTCTGCAAGTCAGCCTCCTGCCCAGCCAGGAAGCTTACTGCTTTGTCTCAGTACTGTGGCCTCTGGTGCCTCCACCACTCAGGCAGGGCTCTCACATGCACACCTGTCCTCTGCGGGTGGTTCTCCCCTGAAGGTCATGCTTCTGAAATGGCTCACTCTACACCCAATGGAATGGCAAAACTGACCAATCCCTGAGTTAGAATCCTCGATGCATTATTTGCATTTTCCCACCCATTCATTTTTTGAGAATTAGAGAGACTTGGGATGAAGAACCACATCAAGAAATTTCATTTCACTGTGGTACCCAAATTACTTTCACCAGGAACCTATCAAATTAGTATCCCTAGATTATAAAGCGACAAGGCTAGAACTCAAATCATTTCTCAAAGGAGCAATATGAACATTTTTAATAGGATACTTCTTTATTTTAGAGACTATCCTCTGCATTACAGAGAGCTTAGCAATGTAATTAGACATAATACACCTCCCAGGCATTGTAGTAACCAGGGGAGGCTCCCCTGCACCCTCTGTATTTCTAGACTCCAAATCTCCCCTGTTGGGAATCTTTGATTGTTTTCAGTTGTATATGTGTATATGGGCATATGTATGTCTATGATTCATGTCAGTTCACTGGGTGGCCCAAATGATTTACACTTGACTACTAACCTAAAAGTGGATGGTTCAAATCCACCAGCAGCACTGGAGGAGAGCCTGGCAATCTGCGTCCATAAAGATTAGACGAGAAAACCATAGAAAGCTTAGTCCAACTTCATACCACACGACGTCCCCATGAATCATAATTGAGTGGACACAAATGTCTCAGAGGGCTTACATATATGTACATGGGCCTTCAGAAAGTTTGTGGAAAACCTGTTATTTTTTAAGTCCGCTTTTTCCATGACCTTTTTAAAGGCCCCTCATATGTGTGTACAAATGTGAAGTGCCCTCATTTAGTATCCAGGGGCCCTGGTGACATAGTGGTTACAAGTTGGGCTGCTAACAGCAAAATCAGCAGTTCAAAACCACCAGCACCTCTTCAGGAGAAAGATGAGGCTTTCTATAAAAAGTCAGAGACACAGCAACACCAGGGGGTAATCCTCCCCTGTCCTAGGGGCTCCCTGTGAGCCAGACTGACTGAGGGCAGGGAGTTTGGTTTGCATTGAGTATAAGTCATCATTTGGGACTGATGGCACCCAAGAAAATTACTCTGTCAGTTTGGGATTTTCGGGAAGTGATGGCAAACACAGAAGCTTCCACTTTGAAAAATAAAAGAAGAGCTTGCAGGATTGTTCAGGTGGGTCGTCTCAATCAACCCAGAGAGACTCCAGGGCCAGATGGCCTTTGGAGGACCCCAACCAAGCAGTGCAGACGCAGCCCCGGCGCCCCTCCCCCTGGGCCCAGTCTCTGTCCTGAGAAGAGCTGGCCTCAGTTGGGAGACCGAGGCAGAGGGTGATGGGGCTGCAGCTCCTCGCAGCCCAACAGCAAGCTCTTTCCTGAAATACATTCTGAGCAGCACACCCCACGAATCTTTCTTCCTCTTTCAGTCATTTATTGGAAATGAGTTCATCATTAGTCACTAAAGGTAATTGAGAGCATTTTTTTGTTTTAGTGTTAAGGAAGGAGTCGGGTCATTGACTGTTAAATTCATCATCTTAATTGTTTTCCTTTTACAAAAACAAGTGTTGAACTGGCCCTGCAGCAGAATGAAATCATGAACACATTTGTTGATGACTGGAGGTACCTGGCTGAGGAAGAAGGCACCTATGGGGACAAGAGTGATACCTACCTGAAAGAGTACCAGTCCTTCACCGACCTCCACAATCTCATGGAGAAGACAATCACCTGCGTCTCCTGGCACCCAACGATCCAGGGTGAGACCGACGTGACTGCGACTTCCTTTTCAGATGACAGCAAACTTGTCTATATCCTTGATGCATAAAACTGTAAACTAGCGATAAAAATATCTTGCATTTGCTGTGTGCCAGGCACCAACCAATCACTTGTCACTCTGGGCAGTTCCATTTTGCAACAAGAAGCCTGAAGCTCAACACAGGGAGGGAGTCTGCTTGAGCATGAGCTTTCTTGCTCTTGGTAAACACAAGGAGTGGAACGGCTGGGTCGTATGGTAGCTATATAGAAGGCGGCCAACTCTTCAGACTGAGGGGGTGCCCAAGCCTGGGGGAATTCCTGCCTCTCAGGAAATTCCATTTTAAAGCCATGAAAGTCCCTGGCACAGTGGGCAGAATTCATTACCCTTTGTTGTAGGCTTCATACTTTTTTAAGAACGACTAACACGTTTTCCAAAAGGTGATTTCAGTCTCCAGTCCCACAGCACTGAGGATCCCGGCAGCTGCTCTCCACCCCCCACTTGGTGAGGTTAGTCTTTGTCACGGTCACCGTCATTGCTATGTGAAGTATCTCCCTGCGCATCTGGTGGCACGGGGGTTTTAGCACACAGCTGTTGATGGCAAGGTGAGCATTTCAAACCTACCAGACCCTCCATGGGGGAAAGATGCAGCACTTTGCTTCCATGAAGACTGACAGCCTTGGGACTCTTAAGGGGCAATCCTACTTCGTCCTATGAGGTCACTTGAGTTGGCGTCCATTGGATAGCTACAAATAAGAAGTAATGGAATCGACTGCACGCGACTCGCTTGGTTATTTTGGGAATGACTAAGGAGCTCAGCTCACAGTCGGCGTCGCAAAACAAGCACGCTGGCCTTCAAGGCAGCCGTCACTCCTTTCCTGGGCCTTAGATGCAAACGCCAGCCTTGCTGCTAGTGGCAGAGCTGTGTGTGCTTAGTAAAAGAGAGAAACAACTCTTTTCCTAGAACTATCCAGTGTTGGTTACCGAAATGCGAAGGAGCCTGGTGGGATCAGGGGCTACATGTTGAGCTGCTGACTGAAAGTTTGGTGGTTCTAACCCACCAGCTGTTCTGCAACACAAAGGTGAGGCTATAAGACGTACAGTCTCAGAAAGCCAAAGAGGCAGCCCTGCTCTGTGCCACAGTGCTGCCATGAGTCAGGGTCAACTCACTGGCAGAGGGTGGGCTGAAGAACAACTTTATTTTAAACAATATGCTTCTGGAAGTATCGATAAATGAGGAAAAGCAGATGCTCGATAAGGGCTAGTTGAACAGCTGTCATTAGGGGTCTCTGGCAAAAGTGACACCCAGAGGATGCTGTCTTCTGTTAAAAATGAGTGCACCTGCCTGAAAACAGAACAAACTGAAATCCCGCTGCCAGCAAGTGCACATCGACAATCTGTAAGGGGGCAAAAAGCCTCATCTTTCTCCCGTGGAGCAGCTGGTCGATTTAAACCATCAACCTTGCAATCACCACTCCAGTGCTTACCTGACAATGCCTCCCGGGATCTCTATTTATTTATAGTTATAGTTAATTTATATTTATATACACATATATTTACACATGTAAATATAAACACCTAAAAGGGTTTGCATACTGAGGTTCTCCATTATCAACTGAAAATTATTACCAGAGGTCAGAATCGGGTTGTTGCAAAAGATGAACTGCGTTAACGATTATAAAGCGCTTGGCGTAGCGCCTGGCACACAGCACTGATCCTGGTTGCTGCTGCTGCAGGTTTTCACGGTCCCTGGTTTTCCCATCAGGACTCATAGCCGTGTCAGTAGCCGTGCGGCTCACCTTTGAAGACAGAATCCACTTCTCGGGCAAACTGTTGCTGCAGCCCTCCCTGATTCTTTTCTGGAGTTTCTCGGACCCCATACACCCACAGGTATTTCAGAAGGGCTCTACATGTAGTGGGGAGACCGTTTCTAAGACTACTCTTCTGTAAGGCAGGGAGCAAGGGCCATTCAGATGCTGATCATGGCCTTCAGGGTCCATACTGGTCAAACAGTGAACTAACTCCCCCCTTGTGATGGCTGGAATGCCGTCTTTAGTGAGGTGGGTTGTTTTGTTTTGTTACAGTTTATAGAGGACAGTAACTATGCAGGTGTGGTATGCACAGCAGCATTGGTGTGGACTATTATTTATATACCTCTTTCTTCATGCTTCTTCATTCCCTCCAAGGCCCTCTCCTTTTCCTTCCCAGGCCCTCTCCTTACCCTCTGGGCACTAGAGTTTGTTTACCTTCTGAGTTCTGTAATATTTTAAAATCTGAACTATTATCACTGAGGATATCTTCATCTTCTCTCTTGTAACCTATTTGTTTTGTGAGTGCCCAAACATTCTGTATTCAGAGAACAAGAAATAACTATGACAGAGCTAACCTTCTATAGCTTTTAGAAAGACTAATCTGGTTGTCAATTTTTTGTTTATAAAATGACAGCATCCCCTAATGGTGGGGTCTCCTTTGCCTCCCATGGAAGGCAGAGAAGTGGACACAGCCACTACTCACTGGAAAATTCAACTGAAGCAGCTTCTAAAGCAAAAGTAGAAGTCCATCTTTGTTGTTAGGTGCCAAGGGGTCAGCTCCCACCCATAGTGACCCTAGGCACAACAGAACAAAACCCTGCCCTGTCCTGTGCCATCCACGCAGCGTTCCTCTGCTTGAGCCCATCGATGCAGCCACCATGTCAATCCATCTCCTTGAGGGCCTTCCTCTTTTGCTCTGCCCTCCACTTGACCAACCATGATGTCCTTCTCCAGGGACTGGTCTCTCCTGACAATATGTAAGATGAAGTCTTACCATCCTTGCCTCTAAGGAGCACTCTGGTCTTACTTCTTGCAAAACATCTGTTTGTCCTTCCAGTTCACTGTACTTTCAATATTCTTCTCCAGCACCACAATTCAAATGCATCTGTTCGTCTACGGTCTTCCTTATTCAGTGTCCAACTTTCACATGCATGATGCCACGGAGAGTACCACGGCGTGGGTCAGGCATGCTTTAGTCCTCGATGAAACATCCCTGCTCTTCAATACTCTAAAGAGGTCCTGTGCAGCAGATTTACCTAAGGCAGCGGTTCTCAACCTGTGGGTCGTGACCCCTTTGGGGGTCGAATGACCCTTTCACAGAGGTCGCCCAATTCATAACAGTAGCAAAATGACAGTGATGAAGTAGCAACGAAAATAACTTTATGGTTGGGGTCACCACCACATGAAGAACTGTATGAAAGGGTTGCGGCATTAGGAAGGTTGAGAACCACTGACCTACGCAATAAGTCTTTTGGTTTCTTGACTGCTGCTACCATGAGCACTGATTGTTATCCAAGTAAGACAAAATCTCTGACAACTTCGACCTTTTCTCTGTTCACCATGATGTTACCTGTTGGCCCAGGTGTAAGAATTTTGGCCTTCCTTACCATGAATTGAGCCTATACTGAAGGCTACAGGCCTTGATCTTCATCAGCAAGTGCTCCGATTCCTCCTCACTTTCAGGAGCAAGGTTGTGTCATCTGCATATCGCAGGTTGTTAATACGCCCTCCTCCAGTTCTGGTGCCACGCCCTTCTTCATACGATCAAGTTCTCTGATGATTTACTCAGCATACAGATTAAACAAGTTTGGTGAGAGGATACAACCCATATACACATTTCTTATAAATAGCTAGTGAAAGTAAACTTTTGTGTGTCTTAATTTTATCCTCAGAGAAGCCCTGATGGTTGAGTGGGTTACGTGTTGGGCTGCTAACAACCGGGCCAACGGTTTGAAACCACCAGCCGATCCAAGGGAGAAAAGTGAAGCTTTCTACTCCTGTAAAAACTTAGTCTCAGAACCCAATGAGGCCAGTCTACCCTGCCCTAGAGGGTCACTGTGGGTTGGAATTGACTCAATAGCAGTGAGGTTTTCAGCTTGAATGTTATCTTGTAGTCATGGTATCTATCTGAAATAGCCTGATGTATGATTTTCTCCCTCTTTCTTGACTTTGTGGGGTTTTCTCTAGTTGATGCTGGAGAGCCCGGATGACATCTACTGCTTCCAGTTCTGTCCCAGCGACCCGAACATCATTGCCGGAGGCTGCATAAATGGGCAGGTAGGCAAGTACCTATGAGTTTCCTCCCCAGCTATGTGTCAATCCACATACTGTTCTGTCTGATCGACAGCCTTTTCAAATATGGACTCGATTCAGCAGAAGGCGGGAGCACAGGTTCTCTGGCAGTCACAGGCCGGGACGAGGCTGTGAGCTGTGCTAGACAAGCACCAGGGCTGGAGGTGCTCCCCGAAGACTGGAGAGAATCAGGTGACATGGAAGAACAAAACCCACCATGTTAATACCTCTTGCACTAGAAGACCAGGAAGTCTTGACTGAAAATTTCCTGGAGGTAGAGGTTAGGCCATGATTCAGAACATAAATAGAAATTGACTAAAAAACATCCATATATCATTCAATATATCTGTATCTACTACTTCCTGAGATTAGAGACATATTGAACTAAACTGGAGGAGACATAGGCATAACTAAACATAGAGATAGCAATTGCCATCAAGTTGGTTATAATGCAGGGTTGCTGCCTGTGTGTCAGAGTAGCACTGTCCTTTAGAGGGTGTTTTGGCTAGGTTTGGTTTTGCTGCTGTTTTGTTTTTTTGCATAGGGTTTTTAATGTCTGGTTTGGGGCAAGTACATTGCCAGGCCTTTGGTCTGATGCACTATGGGTGGAGTCAAACCTCCAACCTTTTGGTTAGCACTGCCATTTGCACTACCCAGGACTTCTATTCAGTTAAATAGAAACTACCATTTTCCAAACTTTTTGGACAAATGGACTTAATTCTGGAGAATAGGCTGGGTCCCAGTAGGTCCTAAAGCAGTTATCCCCACAGTCCTGAAACATTCCCAAAGAAAGAGGAGCAATGCTTCCCAAAGCAGAGGCCTCATTCAGCAAAGATGTGGTATTTTTCTTGCATTTAAAATACACTCGTGTTTACAAATACCTAAATAGTAGTTTTTTTTTACTAGCTTTGGAAGTTGCCTCGTGGTAGTTGTCTTTCTTATGATGTAGGCTAAATTGGATTCTCCCTCACAGTTACTGATTTATTAGGCTACATGATAATATATCTTTAATCTTTAATATTCCATTATCTATCTCCTAAGAATACGTTATAACCCCATTTATTTATTTCAGATTGTCATGTGGGATATAACAGCCCATGCAGATCGCATAGAAAACACTAAGGCGGGTGGTACGAGAAGTAAAAAAGCCATGCTCAAGGTTAGCTCTCTGTAACTTTTTACTTACAGTTTTTTTTTTCATTAAGGAATTTATCAGAAAGTGCAAGTTTAATAAAGACTTGATAGTGGTGGGTGGGGGTGAAAAATGTTTTCTACAAGCTTCCACGTCTGTTTGTGGATATAACCTAAATCACTTCGATGAGGATCTTTGATTAAACACAACAAAACAAATTGTTTTTCTAACCCAGCAGTTGACTTGTTGGTTATTGTCGAGTACAATGAAGGGACCGACCACGTGTCTTGCCTAAATTAATGCAGGCGAAAGAGCTTTCATCAAAAAGGCCGAGTATCCTGGCACGGGGCATAGTCTTGTGAGTTTGGATGTGCTCCCTGACCTCAGCAGAAATTGTCTCATGCATAAAATCAAGGGTTCACATTCTGTTCTGAGAATAATATACTTTGATATTTGTGAAGCTGAGGATTATTAGGAGGGTTGGGGAAATCCTTCAACTCTCAACTAAGGACTGACACCGCATACTGTACATCCCACCCCACCTCCAGCCTCCAGCCTCCACATCAGTAGGTCTCCTGCCAAGAGGCTGGGCTGCAGTCCACCCCGTACTCACAGAGAGTGCTGTTTGCAAAAAGGATGTCCTCCTCCAGGGAGGCCGCTCCTGCTAGATCTGACGTACAGGAGATGGAGTCTCCCCATCCTTGCCCGGAAGGAGCATTCTGGCTGGACATTTTCCAAGACAGACTGTTCTTTTGGAAGTCCGTGGGACTTTCAGTATTCTTCTTGCATATACATATATACACACATATACAACCAACTTTCTGACACATATATGTACATACTGTTGTATAAGCCGAGTTTTTCAGTACATTTTTAATGCAGTTTTTGTGGTAAATTAGGTGCTTCAACTGAGTCGGGTCGGCTTATACTTGAGTATATATGGTATATATGTGTGTGTGTGTGTGTGTGTGTGTGTGTGTGTATAAAACCTGATGAGAAACAGAAGGTAACACTGTCCAATCCTGTGCCATGCTCGCAATTGTTGTGTTTGAGTCTGTTGTTGCAGCCACTGTGTCCATCCACCATGCCTTCACGCCTTTTTTGCCGCCCTTCTATTTTACCACACATGTCCTCCTCCAGGGACTGGAATACATATCATGAATAAAATCTCTATTTACTGTTCAGCTTTCCTAAACTAGCACTTAACTTTCTTTTAACATTCTTCCAGCCCATGTTTCTGCTTGAGCCAGGCAGTAATAAGGAAGCAATGTATATCAGACACTGTGCAGTCTCTTCCATAGAAAACGGACATAAGAAAGTTATTACAGATATACACTGGCTGTCGAACACATTTGAAGTGAGTATTGATGGCTTACCACACTTCCAGAAGGTTTTATCCAAAGTGAAGGTTTCTTGTCGGTAACTACATGCCTAGTCAGCATTTGACTTAGGGATGAGAATAAAGACAGTCTTACAGCTTGGACTGTTTATAACAACTTTAAAAGAAAAAAAAAGGCAGGGTCAAGATTATTGCGACACAATAATAAAGACGAAATGTAAAGAGAAATTGAAAGCATATCACACTCAACATTTGTGGATTGAAAATTGTCTTTGGGGGCAAGCCACCTGAAGCAATATATAACAATGTGTCATTTTGCAGAGACACAGGCTTGCCTGGCATGTGCCCAGCTGTTGGCAGGTGAGAATTGTAACCAGTGAAGGAGCCTAGCCCTGGGTCTGGGTCTCAGTGTAACGCTGGACTGTCACCTAACCGATGTGGTCTTTGTGAGTGGGGGAACTGGCCGAGCTCCCCAAGTGTTTCCTTAAAGGGCACCAAGAGTCTAGCTGCTATGTGCTTTGAAGAATTAGCAGGGGAGAATGCCAAGGACAGTCTAACAATTAGAGTTATGAGAGGTGGTTAGCACTACCACTTGGTAGTACTCAACTGTATTATGTGAGGCAGCAATCATTCTTAAAGTAATAATGTATCACAGTAAATAGCCCAGATATAGTTTCAACGTGTGATAATGGAAGTATCGCAGCATAAGAGAAGGAACTCCATTCCAACCAATAACTCACACCATAAAAAAATATTGATTCTACATGAATTACAAATGGAAGTGTAAAATCTTGCATTATGAAAAAACAGAGAAAGCCAGACAAGAGTGTTGGATTTCTGGAGTGGGACTAGTTTTCTACGTCCCTTGTGTTGAAAGATGCCACAAAAGAATAGGTTGACAGATCCAGGACACCTATGTGGGTTTCTAAATTAAAAAGAAGGAATTAAAAAACAAAATAGAAGAAAATAATTGTGCTGAGTTTGATATAGAAATTTCCAATAAATAAGCAAAAGACATATCCCCTAAATAAAAGCAATTAATAATTAATATAAAAGTCATTCAGCCTTCCATATAGCAAATAAAAATAAATAATAAAATAACAGTAATGTACTATTTGATGCTCATTTGACTTTTAAAAGCATCCTATATTAGAAAAGATAGTGAAACTGGTCGACTCTAACATTGGTGCTTACAACGTTTAACTAGCGTAAAATGTTTACAATACAGCTAAACAAGGGGTTCTTGAATCATAGACATTTTTTAACTTTCTGATCAACAATTCCAATTTCTTAAATTCATGCTCAGAAATAATTCAATGAGTATCCCAAGAAACAAAATTGCATGCACAGCTTTTTAAAAATCATCTCAAAGTGTATCTATGACAGAAAACAGGCAACAAATAAATACAAGGTACAATCAGATTTGATTTTAAAACCACCTGCTTTCTAAATCTTGCCTTTGGTATAAAGATGTGTGTGACTATTTATACATCATTAACATGTACACTTCACCCCTCCTCCTATTCCCCCACTCCACCCCCCCGCATTACACAGCCCCAGCCCCTCATATTTTCTATAGATGAATATCTCAACCCAACCTGGGACCCCAAAGCAAACCTCCCAGGGTGTCTCCCACTTCAAACAGCAGAAAAGCCTCCGAAGTGTAGGGGGTGGGGGTGGAGCAGGGAGAAAGGGGGAGAGAGGGGTAATGTGGCTTGAAGTTGTTGGTTGCTGCACTGGAGTGGAGGTTGGCAGCCCCTCCTCTGCCTGCAACGGAGAGGCCTCACCAGGGCTGCCTACTTCCATCCTTCCTTCTAGTCCTCCTTTCTTGATTATACGTCTGTGATAAAGGTTATTATAAATATTAAGGCAAAGAACAAAAATTTAGAAGATAAAAGGCAGGGTCAAGCTATGGAAAAAATCATTGCTATTTCATTTGTTACAACTTTTTTTTTTTTAATAGATCAATAGGATGGGCTCTGTCTTTGAGAATCGAAGTGAAATATGCTGTCAGCTTATAACATGTTCAGCAGATTGGTATGTTTTCTTGTCACCATGTTATCAGAAGCATTCATGCAATGCACCTCAAATCATTGTCTTCTATTTCCTGAGTGATCTTTATTGTAGCACTTCAACTTAATGCAACTAAAGGATGGAATGTTACAGGGAGCTGCTAGTTTCAAAATAATATTTTTATTTATTTTTTTTTTCAAAATAATATTTTTAAAGGTATAAATATATTGCAAAAAGAAGAGTGAACTAGGTTCCATGGCTTGTAATTATCCATAGTTATTCTACTGCTTCACCTTCTCCTATTTGTAAATTTAGAATGCGTGTTATTCTCATTCTATTTTACCTTGGAGTTGTGAAGACTTGTAGCATTTAATTGGGAAGACTCTTTTACATTTCTATTATGTGTATACACAAAGAAGTATTTTGAAAAACAACCCGGTAACTATGTTGATGAAATATTTATTTAAATGAAACTTGATAGAACGAAGAATTCATAAAGAAGTTAAAAATATATATGTATAGTTAGAACGTATCAAGCATCAAAATGCTGGAAAAGCATTTATCACTCCAAATGGCTTTGACCCCAAGAGGAGGGATGAAGTCATAGGTGCTGGCAGCAGCAGGCGTAGCCATGAGGCAAGCGCCTTTAGCAGGAGGCTTGGTTAGCCCTGCATTACATGTGTTGAGTAAAGTTCTATGATTGCAAGCAACAGAAATTGACTAAGACTAACTTAACTTAAGCGAATACATTTATTTATGCCCAACATGCTATTGGATATTTTTAATAGATTAACTATTTTATGTGCATAGCAATCCTGGAGAGACTGCAGAAAGCAAACTCCAAGGTATACATGATCTAGTGTCCTGTGCTGTCGGTAGGAAGTTATGACAGGGTCAAATCAAAGGAAGAGTTGGCTCAGGCCTCGGAAAAAGCCTCAGAGACTTGACCAGCAGGTGCAGATGACCAGCTCCTTCTGTTTGAAGGAGTCAGCGCAGCCATTTTACATCTATGGGTCACTTTACGCAAGATCTGAGTGACAGGAGAGAGAGTCTGATTGGCCTCTATTGCACCATGAACCCACTACGCCAACCAGGAAAGACTAGCAGGACACCCGGCCTGTTGGTCACTGCATGGCTGCGTGCAGTTCCCAGATGTCAATTAGAATGCTTTTGCCAAAGAAGAGGGTGGAAACCATTGCACAAGCAAAAACAACAGATGTCACCTACATGATTCTATGGACTATTATGCAACAATTAAGCTATGCATAAAGTTTTCAGCAGCTCTTTCCTTTGAAGTGGGGAGCTCCTCCTTAATGAAGACAATGGTCTGTTGTTAGTCTGGGAGCTCCACTAACATCTGTTCACTTTGGGTGACCCTTCTGGTATGTGAAATACCAGTGACATAGCTTCCAGCATCACAGCAACACACAAGCCACCACAGTACAACAAACTGACAGACAAGTGGTGAGGACGGCGCAGGACCGGGCCCTGTCTCGTTCTGTTGTGCACACAGTCACTATGGGTCAGAACCGACATCTACCAACATGAAACCATTAAAATGATCATTTCACCGAGCAAATATTTTAATGTTGGTTGCACGAAATAGGATGGAGAGCTCTATGTTCCCCAGCAGGCTTGGAGAACATTTGGAAGCATCTAATAGGTCATTTCAACTCATAGCGATGCTACAGGACAGGGTAGAACTGCCCCTGTGGGTTCCGAGGCTGTAAACCTTCATTCAGAGGAGCAGAAAGCCCTATCTTTCCCCACAGAGTCCCCGGTGGGTTCAAACGGCTGCTCTTGATGCTAGCAGCCTGAGGGGTAACCTCAGCAGACAGTCACAAAGGGATTGTTTGACTCCAGGGGTGTGAATGGCCAGAAGAAGCAAATCTATGGAAACAGAATAGAGACATGTGGGGATAAGGGGGGTAGAGGAAAACAGAAGTAACTGACTGCGAGCGGGTAGGGAGTTTCTTGTAGAGGTGATGACTGTGGTGACGCTTACACAACTCTCTGAATGCACACAAATCCTTGAATTGTATGTATACTTTGAATGGATGAATTACATGGCATATAAAATAAAGCTCAATAAACCTATTATAGGGGGAAATAATTCCATCAAGCTCCAAATTCAAGTCTCGTCAGGGAAATAACTATGTGCACCGCATAATCCTCTAAACTATAAAGTGCCTAACAGTCAGTCCAACTTCATAAAAATCTTAGTTTCAGAAATCTTTAAATACAGCCACAGTCGCATTGTTACTCCTGAGGTTACACTTCTATTGCCCACTGCCTCTGGTCGAATCCAACTCACAGCCGCCCGACATAACAAAACACAACTGCCCCGCAAGGTTTCCTGGGCTGTGTATCTTAAAGGAGTAGACAGGCTCATCTATCTGCCATGGAGTGGCTGGTAGGTTTGAACTGCTGACCTTAAGGTTAGCAGCCTAACACACAACCCACTATGCCCCCAGGGTTCCTTTCTTCTTATTAGTACTTTTTTTTCTTATTAGTACTTAATAAAATAAAACATGAGCTTCCTTTTTTCCCAGCACAATATGTATTTGGGATGTCAGGTCACAGAAAACAGTGACTCCTCAGCCCGCAGAGAAAAAGAAAGAAGAAAATGTTGAAATTCCTTATGACATACCGTCTACTTTCCTGCACCTTGATCTCGCCTGGAAACCTCTTGCCAAGGTCAGTCACATGGGATCGATTCCATCCCGATTTGCTTATGGAAGCACGCACCACAGGAAACCTGCTCAAACTAACCCAGTGCTCACTGGGCCATAAATCACTGGAGTGAGAGTTCCTGTTATGCCTGCGTCAGTCAAGCCAGAAATCACAAACATCCTGGACTCAAGATATGGTATTTCTTCATGTAGAAGCAAGCCACAACTTACATATGTGGTTTGCATAAGTATTCAATTGCAAAATCAGTTTCTTGAGAACTGGTAGGTTCTCAAGCTCCTCGGGAAAAGCTCATTTTAAACCTGCACAGCAAAAAAAAAATTTAAAAATCTATGTTACATCTCAGGAGTAAGGAAAAATATCATAGCGATGCCTATGACTAGACAAGGAGCCCTGGTGGCCCTGTGGTTAAAGCGCTCAGCTGCCAATCCAGCGGTGGAAGGTTTTAACCCGCTAGCCGTGCCCCCGGAAAAAGATGTGGCATCTGCTTAAGCAAGATTTGCAGCCGTGGAAACCCTGTGGGACAGGTCTACTGTGTCCTTCTAGGACTGAGAAAGGTCAGAACCCCCCAATGGTTTCTTTTCTATTTTTGATAAACAACAAAAACACTAGTTGTTGAGGGAGAAAGTATTGGCACTTACCTTGAATTGCAGAGTGGATTTCTGATGTTGATGGCTCTCTCCCCTTAGGATTTTAATTCCAAATTTAAGACTTTTCTTTTCCTGTGATTTATTACTATCAGTAGAATTACATTGTCCTCTATGTACCCAATGCAAGAATGAACGAACAGGGGTAAGCACGTTCCCCAGGGAATTGAGAGAAGGAACTGGAAAGAGATGAGACACTGTCTGAGGTAGAAGTCATTGAGCCGTGACTGACTAAAAGCAAAACGCCACAAGAAAAGTGCAGTGTGTGGAGCAGCATTCTGGAGGAGAGGCGTGCGAAGGGGCTGATGAAGGACAATGTAACACGTGCCTCTTTATTTATTTGTTCATTCGGGCCTGGGACATGGTGCAGACTAAGATCCCGTCTGAAACTCGTGGGCTTGTGCACCCCTGAGGGGATGCAGATGGAGCCAGCTGGCCGCCCAGGGAGTTTCAGAAAGATTGAGGGACCAGAAGGACCAAGACATGATTTTTATATTAAAATAACAAGGCTGTTTTGTGGACTAGAATGCAAGGCACTTGCGGGGGAAACAACAAACAAACAAGGGACTTTAGGGTTTTGCAGAGATTCGTCCCCGCTGTGGTGTGGCGGTCATGCGTTGGGCTGCTAACTGCGAGGTCAGCAGTTTAAAACCAGCAGCCGCTCTTAGGCATTAAGACAGGGCTTTCTACCCCGTGGAGAGTTACAGTCTCAGGACCTCGCAGGCGCCCTTCTCCCTGCCATACAGGGTCACTGTGAGTAAGGCTAAGCTCTCCACCCCCGCCCCAGAGCGCCTCGGCAGTAAAAACGGGTAGTGCTGTCTTGGGGGAAAGTAATTAGGAATCCGGGAGAGAAAGGGGACAGGAGGAGGTGTTAGGAAACAGCAGTCTGGAGGCAGCAGAGAGGCAAGCATAAATCACACGGTAAATTGCGTATCGATGGGAATAATTTTTCTCACATCTTCCCCCGGAAGATAAAGCTGTCTAAGGGTGAGACAACTTTGGACCACTGTCCGACCAAGATCAGCCTGAATGAAGTCCATCTCCTGTACAAGACACCAGGTAACTAACTGCTTCGGCCTTGTTCCAGGGGCACTGAACGAGCGGGTTGAGATACACTCGGATTGTCTAACTTGTAAAAAGTATGAAGAAAGTCATCCCTCCCCCCACCCCAAATATGGAACTTTATCATAGCTAGGACAGTCATAGGGGCCTCTGTGGCTCCCTCAGGTGAGGTTGCTAACCTACAGGCTGGTGACCCGCCCCGGCAGCGTCACGGAAGAAAGGCCCGGTGAACTGCTCCCATAGCGAGTACAGCTAAGAAAGCCCCATGGAGTCGGTCTACTCTGGACCGCAGGGGGTCGCCCTGAGTCCACTGCAGGTAACAACAGTAAGAGCTATCACCACCTTAAAACCACCTGCGCACAGAAAAAAGGTTTGACAGAATTCAGTAGTTTTGGTTTTGCCAACGTTATTAAGCACATTTATGTATTTGGGGGCACTCATTATTTTTTAAAAAGCATTTAAGAAAACCCACTCTGAATATGTTTAGTATACCTAAACACTATAGCATGGAACATATCTAAGAAACAAATGACCATTACCAGCCCGAATATAATAGGGAAAAGGGATATTTATATAACACCATGATAAAAATTAATCAATAGAGCACTTGACTTTTAAGACTTTCTCCATTCAACCACTTCATCTTTGATGGATTGAGGAGAAGGCGATTCATGTTAGCTTACAAACGTTTCAAAGAAAAGTCCGTGCGCCTATCTCACCTGCAGAGCAATGCAGACTGAAAATCCCCAAGGAGAACCAGCAATTGCACTCTTTCCCAAGCTATTTGTCTAATCAAAAGGGTTTCACTTATGCATTTTTTTAATGTTCGATTAAATAACAGGATATCTAATAAGCACCATATTCAACTTAAGCAAAATTCCACTTTGGAATCATCTGTTGTATAGATAAAATCCATGACCTCGTGTTTTAAAAAATGAAAAATTAGAATCTCTAAATTATTATGTTTCCAAAGCACGAGCATTGAATGTACGAAATGCTCCATGTTTCCAGGGCCTGCTTTACTCCCAAAGAAGTCTACGGCGTGATTTTCCCGCTCCTCCCACTAGTTAGGATTAA